TCTTAAAAACAAATGATGGAGAGGTTAAGAGATTAAAGATTTGGAGTTTTTATGAAATTTTGGAAAGGAATTGATAAGTAGAATTGAAGTTAAATTTGACTTGTCAATGGTTAAATTAAGAGATTTGGAGTGTTAGAATTGGAATTAGAACACATTGAAAATTTGGTATGATTTTTGAATCTCATATGGAAGATAGGATTTTGAGGTTTAAGATGAAATAAATGAATATAGATTGGTTTAAGTATGTATACTAGAGTTAAGAATGAAAAGGGGATGATATATGAAGGGTTTGAGTGGAAATGAAGTAATTTTCGGGTTGAAAATATGATTTCTGGGCAAGGGGAATCGGTACCCATTCAAGGGGAACCGATACCCCTTCAAACGACAGAATTCCAGAATGTCTTGAGGGAATCGATACCCCCTGGTAGGGAACCGATTCCCCCTAAAGAAAAATGTTAATATTGGTTTAATAAGTTCGTTTAAGTTGCTAGTATTCAATTACAAGGTGTAGGTATCTAATGATTACCTCGAAATGTACATTTATGTAGATTCTACGCATAAAGAATTCCGGAACGTTTGGCAAGTAAGATCGATCAAGGGGAAAGATAAGAGATTGGAATTGACTAGTGAGGCCAGGTGAGTGCATATTAATTAGTTTATGGTGCTAAATGGAAACAAGACTTGCGACAAGTCTATTTCCTCTGTTAGAATGCATGAATATATGATTATACGTATATGAATGACATGAATTGTATGTATGCATGATTATATGTGTTAACATGCTTTTGAATGTAATGTTATGAGAAGTATGTGCTATGTAATGTATATATGAACATATGTGAAACTGAACTATGTGACTGCATGATAAAGATATGAGCCATATGACATGATATATGTGAACATGAGAAAACAAAGTATAAGATATGAACTATGTGATCCTATGAGAATATGAAAAGAAGCTATGTGACTACAAGTATATGTTATGAGATAAGATCTATGTGATTGCATGCAACATATGATATTAGATATATGTTTACACATACATGTAGTATGTGACAGAAAAGAAGGAACATGTGGTTATGAGATCAATGATTACACGTACATGTGATACGTGACTGAAAAGAAAAGATATGTGGTTATAAGAGAAAGAATATGAATAAGTAATGTGAACTGTAATAAATGATAATGCCCATGTTATGTGATATGAGAGCTAGGGTATAGTTGGCATGCCAAGGGTCGAGGGTTACCTATGTTCTTCGGAACATATGGACTGTTTACCTATGTTCTTCGGAACATATGGACTGTTTACCTATGTTCTTCGGAACATATGGACTGTTTACCTATGTCCTTCGGGACATATGGACTGATTACCTAGGTTCTTCGGAATCTATGGACTGGTCCTTCGGGACATTGATCGAGCTGTGGTGACAGCATATGTGTGCACAACCTCAATGTACTCACATACCTTAAGTTATCACTAGTGTACATGGGCTAATAAAGTGATTAAACAAGCATACTGAATGTGATATGTATACGATGGGGTTATAAGTGGTTTGAAATGTGTTACGTGAACCATATGATGTTGTGTGTGTATAGTGCTTGATTGAAAAGGTTAACAATAAAAGTATGTGATTACATGATAAACTGTTAATGATGAATTATGTGTCTGTATGTATTTACTGTAATTAATCTGATATGATTTTATATGATACGAAGAATGCATGGAATTGCTATAACATGATAGAAAAGAACATGCATGTATCGATATATGTTTTAAAGTGCATTATAAGTCGTTATGCCTCACTAAGTCTTCGACTTAGCGTGTGATTGTTTCACGCGTAGGTTTCGAGAAGAGTAAAGAGTAATGCGGAGCAAGACATGTCAGTTTTCCTTACCAAATGTCAGATCAGAAAATGTATGTACTGTTTACAGAGTGTAGTTGGCATGTAGTCTAAAGATATAAATGGTATGAACTCTGATATCTGTTGTAAACGCTTTGAAATAAATTAAATGTTATCAAAGTTTTAAATTACCCACTATTTTATACGAATGAATGTTTAAAAAGTCAATGTGACACTTCGGACTCGTATCCGGGTCGGATACGGGTTGGGGGTGTTACAATGATATTTTTGAAAAAAAAATAAAAAATTTAAGGGCATTTTAGTCCAAAAATCGACAATGTCACAATACTTAAGGGAATGGAGGTAATCACATTCCCGGTAATATACCCCAAAAATCTACTATTGGTTCACGGAATGTAAGATTACCAGTAGAAATAAAAGATTATCAGGGAATAGGATTACTGAGAATGTTGTATTTTGTGTTTAGTTGGTTTAGCAGGAATGTAAGATTACCGTGTTTGGTTAAAGAAATAAAAGATTATTGAAATGTATATTTGACCAAATTGTCCTTATTATATATTTGTATAATATTACAAATTGTAAAATATTTATATATTTTCTTTAAAAAATTAAATTCATAATATTTATATAATTTTTTTACAAAATTAAAAATATAAAAAAAATGTTTAATGAAAGGGTAAAAAAAATTTTAACCCTTGAACTTCAAATAAAATTTTAATTATAGATTTTTTTTTGTAAATCTAAAATAATTTAAGGATAAATTTGTAATTTAACCTTCGTAGAATTTTTATTATTCAATAACAGAAGAATTATATTTTTGGAAAAAAATAAAAATTTAAGGGCATTTTAGTCCAAAACGCCTGTAATGTTACAATACCTAAGGGAAGAGAGGTAATGACATTCTCAGTAATGTACCCCAAAAAATCTACTATTGGTAATAAAACATTATCGGGAATGAGATTCTCAGCCAACCAAACATGGGATTCTCATCCCATGGGAATCCCACAATCCTTGAACCAAACACCCCTAATAGTAATAAAATATTACCAGCCAAACCAAACGGGGGAATGTAGATTCCATTCCCGGGGGAATCCCACATTCCCCTATCCACCCCTTATGGGTAAGTGCCTAAGTGGGTAACCGGCTGGAGAGTGAACCAATTTTTTTATCCTGATCAATATGAAACAAATGAGTTCCATATGGAAAATCTGAATCGAATCGAACCGAATTAGAATATTTGAATATTTAAATCAACCCGAAAACCGAACCTTATAAGGGTAAACCGAATTGAGCCGTTTACTCGGCTCGTGTCGGTTTTTCAGTTTTCTCGATTTCGTTGCTCAGCCCTAACACTATTTGATTTGAGGGTTAAGTTTAATTTAATTTATTAAAATTAGGACCAAATTGATATAATATATAAGTAACAGTGACAAAATGTGTAATTATACCAAATATTTTAACTGCCACATCAACTTCTCTGTTAAATATTAACGACAAATGGCAAAATTTCAAAAATGATGGTCAAAATGAAAATGAGCAATAATTAGGCGATCACTGATATAGTTTACTAATTATTTTAAATAATGTACCTTTAAAATTTTAATTAATTTATAAATATACGTTGAGTCCATTATAATTTTAAATTTTTATAAATTAAATTAATGGTACTTATCGTATGTGGTACTTATCGGTACTCGTTGAGCGTGACAGACTCATCCTAAGAACAATTCTCTTAATCTAATTTATTCTATTATTAGATAATTACATAATAACTTAATTTTTTGCTTAATACTAAAATAAGTACCTAAAAAATGTTTTGAAAAATATTTTTGTGCCTAAATAATTTTTCACTAAAAATATGTGCTTAAAGTTTTCTCTGTTACACTTTTAGGTGTTTGTTGTTTAAAAAAATCGTTAACACGTGTCACATTTATATTTTTTTAAAATATAAAATATTGTTTAAAATGTTTTTTAAAAATCTGGACGTAACACTCGTCACTTATCGATTTTTTTAACGGTAGACGTCTAAAAGTTTAACAGATAAAACTTTAGACAAATAATTTTAACGAAAAATTCTTTAGGTACCAAAAGTTAATTTTAAGTATAGTTTAGACACTTATTTTTATACTAAGGTTTTTTTTATACATTTTATAATAACTTTTCTTGACCCAAAAGTGTTTTTTCCTCGCATTCAGCTTATCCCAAGGAACAAGCGGAAGGAAACCCATGTAGCATGACCAGGCGGCTAATGCCTCAACCAAAGCCTATGAGCCCAAACACAGTTGGAGTTGGAGTTCATTTTGGCAGCCCAACTACTGTTGCAGTGGGTAAAATTGGCCCAATATTGTTGAGGGGCTAATTATTTAGCCCAATACAACACAAAGGAAATTAGTTAGGGATCTACGACATTTATTACAGTGGCTTGAAACTTTTCATCCCGATGTGATAAATTATAATAAAAAATATATATTTTATTAGAAATCGTCACGTCAACGTGACGAGTTTACCATAGACTGTAGTATTTATCGTAGATTGTAAAATAAATTCCGAATTGACTTATTGAGTCAATTATTTTTTCCGCCTAACCTAATGGGTCCGCTCCAAGTAGAGATCCATTGTCTTGCGAATTATGATCATCAAATATTTATCTAACAATAATTGTTTAGTCTTGAGACCCTTTAACTAGTTAAGTGGTTAAAGATACTAATATTTTCTCACCTTATATAGGTTTGAGTCTTGATATTTATCTTTAAAATATATTATCTCTAATTAGAATAGTTTAGCATCAAATCTGATCACCAAGATACATTTAACAATGCTTTAGTGGAAATTGGAACAAATTAAAGCTTAATCACGATCCATCTATATATTGTATACTATAATATTAAAGGGTGGAAAGTATTGTGATAATTGGGTAAAAGAAAATAAAAAAAATAAAAGAAATCCCCACTACTTGCATGATTGATATCGCACCAATTCACGCTTATCCTATTCCATGCCTATTTTCATTTTCCAAACTAAACAATGTCCAATATACGGAATCCTACACCTTCTCTCTCTCCCCCTTTTTTTTTTTTTCGTTTTTTTAAAGAGCAACTACCCAATCTTGTTGTTTCGAGACCATTTTCCATTTTTGTCCATGGCCGGTTGCATGAGTGGTGGGGACCTAAGATGATTCGAGGATCAAAGCTGGTGACACAGTGGTGATGTTGTGGCTATGATTGTGATCTGCTTCATATGTTACAATGAGCATCGTTGGGTCATCTAGAGCTCGCTCTACATGTTTCCTTGCAGGGCAGCCTCTGACGCTGCTGCACTTGTAATATCCCCTGAAAGTTGTCCAAAGAAACGAGTTAGGCGGGCTCACACGGCTTTTACAAATTAATTAACTCGGTAGTTATAAATAAAAGTCAATGACACTTGCTGTTGAAAACAAAAAGACATCAAATGCAGGCTTGAATTTATTGTGCATTTGGCGCATTTGGTCAAACAGGTATCGGGCTAGTTAAAAAAACCCAGAAGAAAACATAAAATATAACAAGTTTTGATCGGTTAATTGAAGAGCAAAGTAGTAATATTTACGAACCTTGGATGAGGGGAACCCTTGATCGGTTTCTGACCATATTTTCGCCACGAGTAATCATCAGGAGGTATATCGGCTATCTTGTTGCTAATTGCAGCAACTCTGATGATCTTCTTCACTCTTGATTTCCTACAGAAAATTGAATCAAAAGTTTCAGACTTGGGAATCAAATCAATTGAACGATTCAAATTGAACCTATGACCCCAAAAAAAGAATATGAGAAAACCAACCTTTTCTTAGAGCAATGGCAACGAACAGAGGATGAACCACGGTTAAGAGCAGCAGTATCCAATGAATTACACTTCCTTTTCAAAGAGGAAGACAAAGTTGAATTCCCAGCGGACAAAGACCGCGAAGATGAGAAATTTATGGTACTAGCCGATTCATTTCTCTCCAAAACACCAGTCTTTGATCTCAAATGAGCACTGCTTTTGTTATGGAGGCGATTTGGAGGCAAAGGAGGCAAACTACAGCTTGGGGTCGAACAAAAAGGCTTGAAAGCTGACTCTTGATATTTGGTTACTTGAAAAGGAGACCCGCACTCTTGAATCTTGTATACAGCTTGTTGTGAGTCTTGTTTTTGGTGAGTAACAGGGGCTCGTCTAAATCGAGCATGGCCGATTCTCGGTCGACCCAGTAAAGAAATAACCTCTTTGAAAGAGTTAACAGTCTTGTCCGTAACAGCTTGGATATCCATGGCCGACTCTGAAGGAGAAAAGGTTTTCAAAGGAACATCTTGATCGAAAAGCTCTTGACTTTTAGACATCAAATTTATTAACTCTTCAACACCTTGAATCCCAGAATTCGTAGCTTCTTTCAAAGCAGTTTCCACCATTTTCCCTGTAAAATTACCACCGCCGGCACCACCGTATACCATCATCAATTCAACAGTCATCTCTGTTCAACAAAAAAAAAGCCCAAACCCACCACAAATTTGACAACGAATAAGAACCAGCAGCAGTTTTCTAGATTTATAGAGAAACAAAAACTTGATATCTTAATTGAAATAATGTAAAAAAGGATGATGAAATAGATAAAAGAAAGGAAGAAAAACTTAAAGGAGCAGAGGGTCAATCTGAATGCCTTATGCTCTTCAATTACATGTATACCCAATCAACGCGTTAAACGTGTTTAACAAATTGTCAGCACTTTGACCAAGCCGGATAAAACAACCGCTGGATGGGGTGCCCGAGTAATATGGGGAATCTCATTTTGGTTGGGACAGTGAGGCAGCGGAGTTGACTTTAACAGCTTTAAATTCACCAACAGACAAAAAATGTCAATGGTAGGACCCGCTTTTTACCGGAAACAAGAAAATAGTCGTATGGATTTCTTAGTGGGGGCCATCACTGCCGTATGATTTAAGATTAAATGAATATTTGTAATCTTCTTTTCATCATCATTTCTTACCTGATATGACTTCCAGCTGGGCTTTGAAAAATAAAACGTGTCAAGTTTTAGAACTAAACACAAAGTTAACGTTGACTTTCAAGTAGATTAGAAAATTTTAAATAACAAAATATTATTTTTTTTACAACTATTATTAAAGAAGATTTTATATATAGATTAAAATTGGGGATGAAGTCAAGAATATGGCCCGGGGGGGGCCTTTTTTTTTTTTGGGCCAATGGGGCAAATCAAGAATTTATTTGGTACAATGGGGTAAACCCATTTTTATTTTGAAAAATACGATAAATATTATAGTATAAAGGGAATTCGTTATTTTGAAGTGACGAGTTTTATTGGATATATTATTTTATTAATCTTAATTCAGTGGCCACACGCGGGCTGTTATTTTAATTTATTTAATGAGATTCGTCACTTCGAGATGACGAGTTACTTAAGATTTTTTTTCTTCATAATTTATAAAATTATTAAAAAAAATAAATTAAAAAAACAATAAAACTCTTCGAGTCCCTATTATATTAAAAAAATAGTCATTTATAGTTGTTGGGCAACGAGCAACAACAACGATTACCATGGAATTTGTCATCTCGAGGTGACTAGTTCGATCTGTTTTTTTATAAAAAAAATAGCCATTTACAGTCGTTGAGATTGGGGTTACAAATAAGAGGTTGGGGTTTAGGATCTTTATTGTCTATAGTTACGAAAAAAATTGAGGAAAAATTTGTAGTTTCTGAAGAATTCCCCAAAATAGTCTTTCCAACAAGAAATATTATGCTCTGATGATGTTCATATTTCGTTGTTCGAACTCCTTCCGGAAGAAGAACGAGGCATTCGTTAACGCGGAATGACATCGAGAGATCCGCATCAGCAGATGATTATATATCTTCAGTAATTCGGTCTGTATCTAGCCACATTTATGTGTGGTTTTAAGGTGAACCCAACAATGATTTCAGCTCTGATTGAACGTTGGAGGCCCGAGAAGCACACTTTTCATTTTTTCGAGTAGTGAAATGAATATTACTTTAGAAGATGTCACTTACCAGCTGAGTGTTCCCATGAATGGTGTAGTCGTCATGAGGCGAAACTGTAATACCCCAACCCGTACCCGACCGAATACAAGTCCGAGATGTCACATTGACTTTTAAAAACGATATTTTTACAAAATATCAAATCATTTGAAGTCTTTTTAACAAAATATCACAATATTCCATTAAATTATGTTTGGTATAAAATTTTGAGTCAAAAATATATTTATGAACAGTAAAATACGGTATGAACATTACCGTATAAACAATAATGAACAGTACTATGAACAGTGATAAACAATTCCGTGAACAGTACCAAAATGTTACAATTTAACATAATGTTGGATGGGAACTGATTCCCCTGCTACAGGGAACCGATTCCCTGCTACAGTACTTCGGCAAAACATGTATAAAACTCATAAAATTTAAAACGTTCATCATTATACATTTATCATTTACGTTTATACGTTTAAAACATTCCAAAACTCGATCAGAGTGTAACCAATACAAATCCTTTATTTATTACATGCCAACTAAATTCTTTCTAACAAAATACATGTAATTCGATCTACACTTCTGATCTGATCTTCGGTAAGGAGAACTGACCTGTCTTGTTCCTCTTTACTTCTCTTTTCGCTTTCCAAACCTACGTGTGAAACAATCACACGCTAAGTCGATGACTTAGTGAGGCATATAAAACATATAATATAACCATATATCATTCCATATAAACAAAAGGCATACATCAGCAAATACTATCATTAATCACTTTTATCTACCACATATTCATCATATAACACATATATCACTATACCAAGGAATAAACATATCATCATGTAATTTCTATAACATATTTCATATTACCAAATATACATATCACATATAGTGTATTTGTTATTATCTCTTATTAACCCATGTACACATGTCACTAATTCTTTTTATCATATAACATATACTAAACATTTCTATACAGATCATAGAACACATATATCATTTTCAACACGTTTAACATTTCACATTCATTATCATTAATTCTTATAATTTAACACCCTTATACATAACATATCATGCATTAACCAAGCAATACACCATTACATAAATCCTGTGATCTATTCCATATAACCAATCACATATACATATCATATTCAGTATACTTATTAAATCTCTTTATTAGTCCATATACACTGTTGAGAACTAAAGGTATGCGAGTATATTGAGGTTGTGCACTAATACTGTCACCACAGATTGTATAAGTCCCACTGAGTGACATATGAAATTTGTCCTGAATGACCACTGTATTATCCCGAAGGACCACTGTATTGTTCCGAAGGACCTATGAAACCCTCGACTCTAGGCATGCCAACTATACCTATAGCTCTCGTATTATATAATATGGGCATTATCATTTGTTCATTTCATATCACTTGTTCTTTCTCTTCTGTCACATACCACATGTATGTGTAAACATCTATCTTAATCATTTAACATGTATCACAAGTGCATGTAATCACGTATTACATGTAATCATATAGATCATTTCATATGGTTATATCATTTCTCATTTATTCATATACTTATGTCATATCTTGTCCACCTATGTTCATATATATATGTCACATATACTTTGAATCATCTTTTTCACATACTCATATAATCATTTCCTATAGTTCATATTTTATTTTCACATATGACATATCACATAAATCACATAGCACATATAAGCATATATGTAACACCCCTAACTCATATTCGACCCGAATACAAGTCCGAGATGTCACATTGACTTTTCAAACTTTGATTCTTAAAGAAAAATCTCGGGAATTTAAAACTTTCATTAAAACAAAATACTTTAATTTACATAAAAGAGACCACTTAATACAAAATCGATCAGAGCATTCGTAATTAACCACTTATTACATACCAACACTTTATACACAACAAAATACCTACTTTGTCAATTACTTCTGATATGATTTCTTAGTAATGTTGTTGTCCGTACCACTGCTATTCTGAATCTTCTTATTTCTTGGTACCTAAGTGTAAATCACTTACACGCTAAGTTATAGACTTAGTGAGGCAATAAATGAATATGCAATAATATCTTCATGAATATGCATTCTTACCATTTCCTTCATGACATTTCAATATGCATGTATCTATTACACAATAACATATATAATCATATCATGCATGTACAAAACTTACCTTCTTGTACCACTTTCACTGTACTTTGTATTTCAATTGCCCATGTATATTATTGAGAATAGAGGTATGTGAGTGCATTGAGGTTGTGCACTAATGTTGTCACCACAGCTCGTATCAATTCCCTCATGGGACACCGAACCTTAGTTCAGTATTCATCCCTAAGGACTGTCATATATGTTCCGTAGGACCACTACATCCCGAAGGACTACGTCCCGAACGACTATTATACCATCGACTCTTGGCATGCCAATTACACATATAGCTCTCATATCGTATACTATGGGCATTATTATTATATTTTATATGTTCATGTACTCATGTCATTTCTCTTGTGATCATGTAGCTCATGTCATTTCTCTTGTGATCATGTATTTCATGTCATTTTCTCTTATCACATATCATATCACATTTGTATTTGCATCTATTCATATATATACATCATTTATCCAATCACATGAACATATATATGCCTTATGCATGTATTACAATAATTATCATGTATGCATGTTCACAACTATTGTACTATGAAAATCAATATAGGAATTAGACTTATCTCAAGTCTTATTCCATTATACTATACATATAGTATGTACTCACTTTAGCTTTGCTTTGATTCGATTCTAATCCTTTGATCGTTCCGGAATAAGCTTACTTTTAGTATCTACATAATCACACATGGATCTATATCAGTATTATAGCTAATATACTCTAATGGTTTACTCTTTAGATTAAGATAAATGCCAATTTCATCTTTTAATGAAGGTGTGCATCGATGCACTACTTGTGCATCGGTGCATAAAATGCATTCGATGTTTTATTATTAATGAGATGCATCGATACATGCCTTATGCATTAATGCACTAATTGCATTCGATCTTTTTATTTTAAAAGAGTGCATCGATGCACAACCTGTGCATAGATACACCTTCAAACAATTTATGGGTTTTAACCTTGATGCATCGAAGCACTATGAATATGCATCGATGCACTCTTCCCAAAATCCTCTTTTTGAACCCGAAAATTCATTCATTTTGGATTAAATCCTTCATGTTTAATCCTCTTTTTCATTCTTAACTATAGTACACATCCTTAAACCAATTTATACTCATTTATTTCATCTTAAATCTCTAAGTTCTATCATTCATATGTAATTCAAGAATTACATCAATAAATCAACATGTTTGAATTCCACTTCTAACACTTCGTATATCTTAAATAGATTGATGACAAGTCAAATTTAACTTTCAATTCTAGTTATGAACTCTATTCCAAGATTTCATTTAAGAACTTCAAATCTTAAATCTGTTCTAACTTCATCATCCTTTGATGTTAAGATAACTTAAGCTTTCCTTAAGCTTAGTTATCATC